GATATGCTATTTTTTCTCAGAAAGGAAACATGTTTATCTCCGATGCATATGTTGTTAGCAAAAAAAAACATGATTTGATCGGTCTAATCTCCGATCAAACTTCTTTTGATCATTTGTTTGTTTTTTTGCTTGATCTTATATATTATGTTTTCATTACTTACCGAGTGGTTTTAATATTTCTTTAATTTGTATTTTTTGAGAAAAGGAGGTGGCCACGAAACATGAAGTCGATGGCAGAAACTCTTATTTTTTTACTTCGGTCTCTATACTAAGGGCGGTAACTGAAAAACTTATTCGCCTGGTAACTGAAAAACTTATTCGCCTTACCTACGAGATGTATCTATAGAATRAAAGAATTATTTTATCYTTCCTTGGCTATTTTTGYTRGRAATTTKGGTCYGTGATTTGCAGCCGTCTAATGCGTAGCACCATTGATTATTACTTTCTGAGCTAGCTCCATGGATCACGAGTTTCAAGCCTTTGTTGAGTTAGCAATGGTCAACACTTCAACGATAAACTGTGCATCTTCTTACGAGCCAAAAGAAGAAGGTCAATATACTCAATGACATCAAAGGAAATTTATAAAAAGTATATTATTTGTTTTATTTAGAAATTTTAAATATATTTAGTCGAATCTTGAAGGATACTATGTTCTTGGGTCCTCCAAATTCTGGGAAAACGATTCTCTTTCTTGCCTTAGCTCTGTAGAAAAAATCGGAAGAGTGACATACAATGGTCATAGAAAGAACGAGTTYGTGCCACAAAGAACTGTTCATATTGAAGATATGCTGTCCAAGAGACTTGTGCTTATGCAGCTGGATACATTTKATTAACATTAACTCATGTTTGGTTTAATGCGATTAAATAAATGAAATTATATATTAGTTATGTTATTTATAATTTCTTAAAACATGTTATCGTTTACTCTAAGGGACACGGTATTCGTGTACACGTGTTTGAATTTAATGTTTTTAGAAGAACAATACTCCCTCTGTCTCATTATATAAGATATTTAAGCATTATTTTTTTGTTCTATTTTATAAGATGTTTTACAGATTTCTATGCAAA